GATTGATGTTGTTTGGACTTTGTCGGTTTTTATTATGAGACACTGTGTGTGTTTGTCTGACTTAAAAAGTCTTTTACTTTGGAGAAATAGGTGTTGAGAGTGGTGTCTATAATACTGTTGGATAACCATTTATGCCTTTAAAAAACATTTTCTCCGAACATCATTCGGATACAGATATTAAGAATGCTTGGTGTCCTCTCTTAATGGACTTCGAGTTTGGCTATTCTGTCACATTCCTCCTGTGAAATCAAATAGTTGTTGTCTTGATCAATGGTTTTCTATTGTTACTTATTGTTGTTGCTCTGTGTGTATGTAGTCATGGCAGGATCTGCACCAGAAGGCACACAGTTTGATGCACGTCAGTTCGACCAAAAGTTGAATGAAAGTGTGAGTCTTTTAGTTCTATTTTCATAACTTTTTTTTCTTTCTTGAGTTGTGGTTTAGTTGCTGACTGTGTTGTATGGATACAGACTTGAGGGACAAGATGAGTTCTTCACCTCTTATGATGAGGTTCACGAGAGCTTTGACGCTATGGGTCTGCAAGAGAACCTTCTCAGGGGTGTTTATGCTTATGTATGTGTAGTAGTAGAACCTAATAAACTGTCTTTCTTTCTTTTTGTAATTTATGTCTCTTTTGATTCTCGACTCATGCGTGGATTCTGTTGACTGTACTTTGTAGGTTTTGAGAAGCCTTCTGCTATTCAGCAAAGAGGGATCGTTCCCTTCTGCAAAGATCTCGATGTGATCCAACAGGCTCAGTCCGGTACTGGGAAAACCGCAACTTTCTGCTCTGGCGTCTTGCAGCAGCTAGACATCAGCCTTGTATAAAATTGGACTAATAATATTTGGTTGATGAAGAGACAACAGAGGAGGCTGTAAAATATACAAAACAACATAGAATCTTGTGTATATTGTATTGTTCTAAGAATTCAGGTAATACGACCATTCTATTCTGCATCCTATAAACTTATATTATCTGAAATCGATAAATCAATTACACTAATTTTCTCTTTTTGGTGATAAAAAACTTGTTGACTGATGCAACAGTGGTAACTTGAGCTATGATCTGCTTTAAGAGTTAAGCAGCTCATGTTTATATGGTACACACTTATAGTGTTCAAACAATCGTGCATGTTGTAAGTTAGTATAGGAAACTTGTTTCTGTTCTATAGACCACATGGGAAAAAATGGAATGTGAATATACTATTTCAATGCTGAATTTGATCAATCTTAACAAAGCTTGAAGGCCTTATTTAAATCTTGGAGTTTAAGGTAGGTTCTAACCATATGGGCCTACAAGAAAATTACGTTTTTAAAAATCGTGAGTGTGTAGACAATCCAAACCCATGAAAATTTATGTACATCGTTATTTTTATGCTTCTCATAGTTGTAGAAACTCCATATATAGTTCTTATAGGTTTGACAATAA